GTCCAGCGGTTACTTTCCGCTGACGATGAGATGCCTACGATATGACAAGGGCAATCATGGTGCTCAACCAGGATGAACAATCATCGGAAGGATAAAAACATGCTTGGCATTTGATATATCTACTAACACATTTTCAAGATGACGTGCTGCGTTTTGAAGTGTCGACAGACACCTCTAGGTAGTTCAGACATAGTGGCCAGCCCGGAGTCTGCTTCACCGAGGCAAGGTACCGATGTCGAAATTGCCAACCTCGGAAACCCCCACATACCTCCACACGTCCGACTTCAACGACACAACATGATCGACCAGGCGATGAATGAGCGAATCACTTGAACACATATTCGTATCACTTACGAGGGTTGCTTGGTGGACTTTGGTGTGCCCCAGGCAATACTCGAGGCATGATGGTGAAGCTCCTCATCAGCATCCTGCAATTATCACACATTCTAAGTATCTTTCAACATCTATCACCTTCCTTACTTCAGTCTAATCCCAAGCCATGGGAAGGAAGAGCAGTTTGTAGCGCAACATTTCACATCCTGCTTGCGTTTTTCTGTCATGACTTGAATGATTACTGCCTGGATATCCGTACTCTAACAGGCAGCCAGTATCTTTCTATAGGTTGACAGCAGCTCATTCCGAAGAGCTGTATCCAACCATAGGCCCTTCAACATTTCAGTATCCTAGTGATCGTGTCTGCTTGAAATTGATATCTTTGCAGTTGATTTGACTCGATTTGCCAATAAGACATCACTAATCAGCTTTCTTCTGAGTAATATCGATCATTCTGTTGGCCAGTATCTGGTCTTTCTGGCCCGGTCCTTCAGTGATGATCAGGACCAGAGTTTTGGTCAAGCATCCGTGGTTCGAATCATTCAAGCCTCGTGCCCAAGAAGACTACATCTGCCCATTCATGTCGTTGTGTGTACGGGGCTTCGATAGACCCCTCTCCCCAAAGCCGATGGAGCTGTCCCAATTCCCGATTCTCAATGTCACTCTGGATGAGTAACGCTGCTCTCGGTTGTGTATTCCCTCGTTGATTCTGCCCGGATAATTGCAATACTCTTACAAAGCACACTGTTGTTCACTTGAGGTGAATCACCACGGATTCACTCACGGAAGGTGGGCCCAACCTCAACTTCCACTCAAGGTAGGTAGGTAGGTAGGCAGGTCGCTACTGCCTCTTTTGAAAAGGTCTGCAGCACCTACCTTACCTTCCTGCCTTTCCCTCACTGGAGTAAATTACCTCCGATTTTCCTTCTCTTCCTTCCATCACTCTCGTCAGGTTGACGACATCTACCAGAATCCTCCCCACGGTCTATTCTGGTTGTGTACTTCAACTTCTCACCTCCTGCGTCCTCGCGACAATACTTCGCCTGCCGATACATCGCGGCCCATAGGTTCCTTCCTGCCACTCATTCAATCTGCTATCTAGTAGCCACGGCGTTCTTTTTAGCATCCTTGGGTTGTCAGCTTGGCACCATTCAAAGCGTACGCCATCGCGCTGTGCTTGAGACAACATACCGAGGTAAGTTATTTCAGCGCTTGTGTTGCCGTTGAAGAAATCTCACTGATAGAATTCAGATGCTCTTTGCGACGTGGAATGTTGGCTACGGGCCGATCGACGATCTTCACGCGTCCCTCACAGTAAAAGACAATCATACGTCTCCCGCGCCACAGAATATTGTAGGTCTTCTCTCTTGATCCCATACCTGTTTTACTTCATGGAACTAATTCCACCAACTGGAGCTCTCCGACAGAGATTGTGGTCGCCGAATGGTTCACTCGTTCAATAGCGTCCACGAATTCGCTCGCGTTCATCGCGAAGGAACCATCATAGAGATGGCGAACGAGGCTTCTGCCATCAAGAGGTTCAATGAAGCGCCTGAAGCCAGATACGCTTGGGTGATTGCTCCTGTACCGGGTCCTTATTCACTCATCGAGTCGGATCTGCAGAAGAAGTGGATTGTGCTCGCCGAACTGCCATCGACACCGGAACGCCATTTCCCTGATGAGGGTGACATGTGCAATATCTCATTCAAGCGAGATTTCGTTTGCAAGGGCAAGAAATATAACCCTGGAACTCTCTCCGCCCAGCGCATTCCCAACCCATACGAGACGATCCCGGAGTTGTACCAGTATTCCCTACTGGCAGCATTCAACGTTATCATGGACTACATTGCCGACCCTATCACGAAGCAGCAGTACCACCCGCTCTTCTCAATCGCTGTGAAACAGGATCTGAATTTTGGCTTCGGGCCAACGCCCCTCAGCTTGCAAAATGCCACTGAGATCTGCCTTCGGATCGATCAGAATCCTGTGACGTATGAAGCTGAATTGACGGCATTGAGCATCTTGACTCAGCCGAAGAAAGAGGGAAACGAACTGTCAGAAAACACCATTGGAACCTTCGAGTACTTGCTGGATTTCCGGAAAGAGCCCAGTTTCTACATCAACATGTTCGACAAGATCCCACACATGGACAACCCTGCTAGCCATTCCAATGCGTACCTGCAGGCTGTCTACCGCCGACTCAATGCAGACCACAAGAATGTTTACGAGCAACTTCGTCGGATTCCAGCGGGACTTGCGATCATTCTTGGTTGTCCTGGTGCTGGAAAGACAGCGTTGAACGCCTTTATCTCTGCTATGGCCGTCTCTCAGTCTCGCCATATTGTGCGCGATGATGGGAAGAAGAAACACAAGCCGGTCAAAATCCTGTATCTTCTCGACGTCAATTACCCCTGCGATGATGCAGCAGACAGAGTGTACTCAACGTTGAAAAAAGCCGGCATCAACAAGTCGGTGATTAGGGTTCGAGGTTGCGCTCGCGAGATGCGAAGCAGTGCAAAGCTTCACCCAGTGCCCTCAGCAAGCGAAGATGACGAGCCTGACTTCACCGCCGGATTCCTCAGACAAGTTCGTGCTTCTGTCGGTCTTTCGAATGGTACCCGTTCTACTAATGAAGCCCGTGGCGATCGAGCGCCATCCCTGGATGAAGTTGCGTGGGAGAGATACGATGTTGACCGAACCCGATACAAGTCTTTGACCAAGATTCTCGAAAAGCTCGAGAACGGTGCAGTCAAGACCAGAAAGACAGCAAGAGAGCTCAAGAATCGTGTGGCCAGGCTCTATCTCTCCGTGATCGGAGACGCCGATTTCATTGCCACAACTCCTGTTGGCGCGTCTGGGTACCTGAGCAAAAACTTTCATCCGGACATTGTGTTTCTTGATGAAGCTGCTCATGCCAGAGAACTTACAACCCTCATCCCTATTGCGCTGTATTCACCCTGTGCGTTCATTCTAACCGGCGATACCCGACAAACTAGACCCTTTGTTGAAGGCGGCAAGGGCATGGAGAAGGAGAACATCTATGCAAAGCAGCTCATGATAAGCACCATGGAAAGAGCGGATCTTGCCGGGGCTCTCAAGAGCAAATTGCTTATCAGTCACCGTAAGCACTGTGATATATTGTTCGTATGACTACAATGCTAACGACGTCCAGGAATGTACGGAGACCTCCAAGTATTGGTATCAGAGTTGTTCTATAATGGACAATTGACTTCAGGAATCCCCGAAGCTGAGCGCTTCTCCGACCCCGTACGCCACATGCAAAAATGGCTCGGGCAATTCACCAGGGGCCAGGAATGTACTGTCCCTCGAATCCTGCTCAACCTACGGTACTCCAAGGAGATGAAAGACCGGTCGAGCTTCTACAATCAGGTTCACGAGAATTTCATCAAGCAGCGCTGTCACGAACTGCTCCGACACCCAGAATTCAAACAGGTTGACAAGCCTGACCAACCTGGACGGATCCTGATTATCACACCGTACAAGGCTGCTTTGATTCGGTATAGACAGTTCATCAAGACTCTTCCGCCTCACTTCCGGGGAAGGATGGACGTGGAGTTACGATTCAATGCTCTCGAAGCCCGCACTGTGGACTCTGCTCAAGGACACGAGGCAGACTTTGTGTTTGTTGACACGGTTAGGACGAGAAGCGCTGGCTTCCTCGACGACCCAAAGCGTCTGTGCGTGATGTTGTCTAGAGCTCGAGTTGGAGAGATGATTCTCATGCATGAGGGCATGACGAAGAAACGGGACCGTAACCAGCAACAGCATGATGCGGAATGGACTACCAAGGTCTATGATCATTGTCGCAAAAACGGTCAGCTTCACTATTTCGGTTGAACAAATGGCTGTGCGTTTGAGGTGGTAGATTGATTGTGGAGTTTGGATCAGGCAGCGGACGATGTCCCCGTTACAGCAGCTTGTGGAATGTTACCTTGGAGGATAGATACTGCCATAGAGAGAGCCCAAGAATGAGATAATTGCAGTAAGCTTTGAAAGACATTTGATGACACCGCGGGCTACTCGACTATCTACGATAGTGCAGCCTGATCTCGATTCGGCCAAGTTAGTCTCGAGGTGGTACCACATTAAGCAGGCTGCGGAAAAACGAGGAGTGCGTCCAGAACATGGCTCATTGCCAATGATATCCTTTCGAAACTAGTTACGAGAAGATGGAAACACCTAATGGAGACTGAACCGACTGAACCGATCGCCATGCGGAGACCATCACCAGTGTGATGCTGCCTTGGGTGTCACAGCATTTGCCATGCCTGATCCTGTTCTATCCCAGTCTACAGCCTGATTCTTTGAGTAAAGTAATAATATCATTGGCTTAGAACGATCGTCAGGCCGTTGTTATTGTATCCTAAAAGAGCAGCTGAAAAGGCTTGCCAAGAAGATAAGCAACTGCAGAGTGCCTTTCCTCCGCTCGAGAAGCGTGCACCCATATAAAGTAACTGATACCGGTCAGTTCCCCCACACAATATGAGAATGGAGGCTTTCCCACCTTGTTAACCGCGCATTGAGATAGTATCGATTTCTCTCTTTCGACGAAGATTAGGTGACAGAATCGGTTGCAACATCGCCGCGATTCGCCCAGGCATCACCACCGATTGCCGACTTCAATCGGCCGCACACAACCCCCGTCAATGAACCATGACCAGCGTTCCAGCTGTATGTTTTGCTGAATGTAGTGAGTTTCTTTCCTCTACCTTCACCGATGTTCGCCACACAACTGACAATATTTGTACCCAGACAATGCCTATATTGAGGCGCAAGGAGTCGGGAAAGACCCTTCCTTGTGCAACATCGCGTCGCCCTTTGCGAAAGATCTCATAGATTGTCAGGTTTGTATTGGAGTCAATAGCAAGAACTCGACCAGTTTTGAGGATCTTGGACCCGAATTTCAACAATATCTGGACCTCTGCAACCAAGTACAGACGGTCACGTACGCCACTACCATCACATACCTCAATGGTGACGTTGAATTGGTAACTCTGACGAAGACAACAACGGGCCCGATAAATTACGCCCCGACCACCTCGACTCCTTCTGCGTCTACTTCGTCACAGAGTGTCATGCCTACAGAATCAGCTTCGACAGGTTCGTAACCGCCTGAACCGTCTTGATAGAAAACCTCGACGTTAACCAAAAGATCAGAATCGACCCCAGCCCCCAATCGAGCATGGGTAGCCGGTCTGGTCATTGGCTGTGTCGCCGTCACTGCTCTTGTTACTGGTTTCTGGTTTCTCAGACGCAGAAGACGGAGAGCCAATCAGGCAGCTATTGAGAACACGAGCGAAGCACATGACGAGTATACCAAGGCCCAACTTCACTCCGACAGTCTGCCTCCCAAGCCTGCCATAGAACTCGAGGGGTCATACCCAGATCCCATACCGGAGATGAGCGCGAACGAGATTGCTGCACAAGAAATGTTAGTCCCGCACAGCCACCACGTTGCAGAGATGCCAGAGAAACGTAATTGAGCAGTTCGAGTACGCACAACTAGTCGAGGCATGGCTGGGAACAGTACACGAGGTGTAGAGTGAAGCAGCGTGCCGAGCAGCATAAGAACAAATGAAGAACGTAGTGCCACTCTTTCCAGCCTTGGTTAGTCTTCGTTCCATACGCATCGCAGCTACCCGTGCCGTCCTCAAAGGTCCGGCAAACATCGATGTAAGTCGACCAAAATCACCAGCCAGCCCAAATTTCCTCCATTCTAGGATCGTTTTGGGCCTTTTCACGGGTAACTGGGCAGAGTACCCCGGACGCCACGTAAGACGAGCCATCGTATGGCCATCACCACGAAACACACTCTTGCCAAGTTACACAGCATAACGATACGCTCTCATTGGGCGCTTACCACCCATCGCACACTCCCGCACCATCCCATTCGGCCTGCGGGATCATGCTTACGGGCTGGCCGCACCGGAGATCACGGACTACCGTTGAGCGGCTCATACCCGTTGCCAAGAAGGGCAAACTTCTGTGCAGCAGATCCGATTACTATGACATGGTGTGGCGTTGGCGGCCGTATAAAGTCAGCTGCATGCCCGGCGTACCTTGACGCTGTCAGCATCTTTCATGTCTGACGCTCCATCTTGCGGGGGACGAACCCTCATAACTTACAAAACCCAAGAGAAAAGAAACGTTAATGACCTGACTTAATCGAATGCTTCAAGTCGACTGAAGATGTCGGCTTCGATAATCACATCGACGACTGGGGCTACTTTCACGTACCCTACGCCAGAACCATCCATGGTGACCTATTCGGCCAGGGCATATTTCATGACGAGTCCATCGGGACCATGCATGAAACGTTTGAGTATGCATTTCTTTCAACAAGTTTCTCGATCTCTCGGAGGTGAACTGCCGCCAGCGACTGACCACCGCTGCGTCTTAGATGCCCTCTACATATACATCCAGGCAATCGGCAAACAGCCATTGATCTGCCACAAGGACGCGCACTTTCAGACAGAGTACGAAGATTGTATTAATTGCTTACACGTCACCGTGGAGGATTCAGCAACGTACATATCTAAACGCGTCGAGCCGAAATTCAAAGAGTATCTAGACTACTGCAACGGTAAACCTCCGGACTGGACGTACGCACCTTCACGATTGACTGTCGTCACCCGCGCGCACTGGGGACCCCTTACAGACTTTTATGGCGAACTGGTGGCGGGAGGTCTCCAGACGATCACGGCGACGGAGCTCAAACCGACGGACAGCAGTGAGACAGGCGGCGGATGGCCGTCGTCGTCCTCGACAGAAACTGGGAAGACACCCGGGGCAGGAGACTCAGGTATGATGTCTGGAACAGCCATATTGACGCGATGATGATGCTAATCAAGCGGGATACCAGGACCGATACCAGGTAACTCGGCATGGATAGCAGGGCCGGTCATTGGCGTGATCACGGCCATTATGCTTCTCCTCGGCGCGCTCTGGTTTCTCAGACGACGAAGACATCGAGCGGTTGATAAAGAGGAGTCCATGGCGACCGGTATTGCCATTGGTACTCGTGGTGGTGGCTATGGCCAAGGGGAATATGAAAAGCCGCAACTGCATTCGGATTGTATCCCGCGTCGAATGGAGCTCGAAGGATCTTACCCGAATTCACCCATGAGCCCCATGTCTGAGATGACTGCAAACGAAGTCGCGGCTCAGGAGCTTTCAGTGCCGGGTAGTCAGCATGTTGAAGGGGTCACGGAGAAGAGTAGCTCTGCCAGGCCGGAGAGCCCGGTTCTTGGATGAAGTAGGGAGGTTGTTTTCACTTAGTTTCCGTTGGAGATGGGTTTCAACGTAATAGTGAAGGTCGGTCCCCTCATTCGAGACCAAAGTAACAGCTAAAATTGAGTCTCATTTTTAATTTATGTATGTTTTCTGAGAGGGCGTGGTATCAACGTCATGCTTCACACAAGCCGGTCGCCTGAACTAGGTTTAGTCCTTCTCAACCGATCATGTTTCGCCTCATCCTGCTCGACCCAGTGAACTGCAAGTTCTCATTGCCCGTGACACCGGTCAAGACGTTGCCGATCCCCTGCACCTCGCCGTTGCCGCCCTGCATGATAGCCGCATAGTTATTCGCAATCAGCTGGATACCCGACACGAACCCCTGCTCGTCGAAAGCGCAGTGCCCGCCGTTGGGCGAGTTGTTGACCGTCTGCTTGGCGTTGACCTGGGCGGTACTCAATCCCGCGTCCGTCGCAATCTTCTCGTACGCCTTCACGGACGCCGGGATCGCCTCCTGCAAGTTGGAGAGCTCCTGCAGCGTGCTCTGGAAATGGATCCTCGTGCCCGCGACGGCTTTCGCGTCGACGACGTCGACTTGCGGTGGCAGACCGCCGCAGTTAAGCAGCACGCCGTTGCCGGCGAAGTTCTGCATGTGCGCGGGCATGAAGAAGCCCGAGAGCATCAGGGACCCGCCCGAGACGCCCGTGAAGAAGACGTTGGACTGGTTGAAGGCCATCATCTGCGGCAGCGTCTTCTGGACGAGGTCGTTGACGGCCTGGGAGTGGGCTACGCCGTCGGTGCGCTGGAGACCCTGGCCGCCGCCCCAGAAGAGGTTCGGGTCCGGAGCGAGGACGGCGACGCCGGCGAGGTTCTGCTGGACGCCCTGGTTGGGCATGTCGAAGAAGGATTGGCCGCCGTCGCCGTGGAGGAGGACGTTGAGGCCGAGGGTGCCTTGGGCGCCGGGTTGGGCTGCGGCGCCGGGGACGCCGGAGGCGGCGGTGAATTGCTCGGCTGGGCCGCTGATCTTGAAGCGGAGGTCGAGGCCGCTGGGAGGGGGGTAGTGTTAGTCCATGCGCCCCCAAAGAGGAGAAGGCGAACAACGGGACTTACTTGACGTTGGCGGTCATGTCCAGAATCATGGATCCGTCAGTCGCTTGCGAGATGCCCTGGGGCACCGCGGCGGCCTGCTGCTGCGCCGTCTGCCTGTTGGCGCGGCCGTTTCCGTTTCCGCCACGGTTTCCGTTTCCTTTCCTGTTCTGGGGCTGAGGCGCGCCGTGGACGACGCTCAGCAAGCTGAGGACCACCGCGAGGGCGGCGACGGGGGAGCGGACGGTCAACATCCTGGTCGAAAGCGGAAAAGAAGGAGGGAAGAAGAAGACTGTGTATTAGAAGACAGGAATATACGAAGGGAAAAAAAAAGCTGCCAAGCTTGCGGCGCGTCGCTCTCCCACGAAGATCAAAGTGGTCTTGGAAAGAAGATTCTTGGTATGAAACGAAGATTCGGAATTTCCCAGAAACCCGGGGAAGGAAAATCAAAAGGAGAAGAAAGGAAACCAAAAAGGAAGGGGGATGGGGTGGCAGGTTAGGTTTATCTTAAAGAACCGTTTGCTTGCATGAGCATCGGCCATCCCATGGTCATGGGTATTGAACAGCCTCTCCTCTCACGGTCTCGCCGTCCGAATGATAACCGACGGCTTCTCTCCTTTCCCTCGCCTTCGCTCTGGCACTGACCAGCATCGTGGCTGGCTCTATCCCATCTCCTTTTGGCTCCTCTGCATGGGTTCGACTTCTCAAGCGAGCTCCCCCGGCTTCAGACTAAACATGGGGAAAGAAGGACGTATCAACGGTCAGCCTTAGCTGGCGGGAGCCATACAGGCCATCTGCGAAGCGAACCATCTCAATAATGGAGAGACGAAAAAGAAGGGAGGGGATAAGCTTGTGTTGTCTCTGTTTCGCCTGGACTCGGTTGTGTGTGAGAGTTGGGACAAGTCAGTCTGGGTCTGATCGCCCCCCTCTGGCTCGTACACGAGTTAGTCATTACTCCGTAGTCAATACTTAGAGGACGGGAGTGGCTTTTGATCTTCAGCATACCAGGGGGGGGCAAAGGTGAAAGCCTGACTGGTCAATTAGTTCGACATGGAACTAGGTTGTCCGGGACAATTGTCACCCAAAAGAGTGCCTCTCTGGGCCTACACAACCAAAAGTGCGTGTAGGAAGTATGAAAAGGGATGGATTGCCAGCGAGAGGCTCGACGACTGTTTCGCTTGGCGCTGCGTCTCCCGACTCGGGAGCAGAGCCATCCAGGGCACCAAGTTCAAGTTCAACAACAAGGTGTCGCAGAGCGTTTGAGGTTCTTTGTCGTCCGGCCTGCACTTTGCAGCAGAAACTCGAAACCGACCCTGGGCGCCCGGGTCCACCCCTGCGAAGCCGCAAGGCACACCCGCTCGGGGCTTGTCGCTTCAGACCCCGGTTCGGGGGGCTACGTCTCCCACTCGGGAGGCGACCATCATTTGACAATTACAGATTTTATTTCCCTGATCTTCCCGCGCGTGACAGCGAATGGAGATGTTTATTTTGCCGTGGTGAAATGCTTCCATGTAGATTTCCAAAGGTTCCGGTTCCACTACTAAGAGGCGGGGGCCTGTTTGATGGGGTTTCTGCGACGTTGAGAGGCTTGGTATCCGTAGGCTGTTTGGGATCCCTGGTTGCGCTAAGAGATGCTTAAGTGCGACTAAGCATTGAGGCTCTTTGAGGGGGATTAGCCGATGTGGGTTTGGCGAGTCAAGATCGTTCTTCTAGGTACGAGGAACAAATGACTGGTGGTTGCTTCTTTAAAGTTTGTACAAGATACTGAATGATATTAGGGTGAACGGCATGCTTCGGAAATCGGCGGGTTCGTAGTCAAGTAAGTTACTTGAAGGAACTCAGGACGGAAGCCAAACATGACACATGTTTCTTCGACACTTATTCACTTACTTTCCAACGACCACAGGGGCTCAGACGTCACTTGTTTCGGAGCTGACCTGTCTGAACTTCGTATTCAACCAAACAACAGCATTCTGATGTACAGAAGACGCTAAATATAAGTATTTCGTGCATTTCGTAGGCATAACGATCAAAGCACACACCCGAACGATCATCTAATACCCAGCATCACATCAATCCAACCATTCTAAACACTAGCCAAAAACCTCGTGCTCCCCATAGTTCATATATACATATCACAAGCACATATATCTCAAAGCTTGGCACCCTTGGATCTCCTGGCTTCCTTTTCGCGGTCGCGGAGTAGACGGCGCAGAATCTTGCCGCTGGGGCTCTTGGGAATGACGTCGACAAACTCGACGCCGCCCTTGAGCCACTTGTGCCGCGCCTTGTGTTCCTCGACGTACTTGCAAATCTCGGCCGACACCTCGGCCTCGGGCTTGGAGGCGTAGGCAGCGGCGCGGACGACGTACGCCTTGGGCACCTCGCCGGCGCGCTCGTCCGGCACCTGGATGACGGCCGTGTCGGACACGGCTGGGTGGGTGAGCAGGTGGGCCTCGAGCTCGGCGGGCGCGACCTGGTGGCCCTTGACCTTGATGAGCTCCTTGATGCGGTCGACGATGACGAGGTGCTCGTTGCCCTCGGCGGACTTGCGAACGAGGACCTCGTCGCCCGTCTTGATCCAGCGGCCGTCTTCGTGCCATACAAACGTCTCGGCGTTGGCCTTCTCGTTGTGCAGGTAGCCCAGCACGACGGAGGGTGACTGCACCAGGAGCTCGCCGGGGGTGTTGTACTCTGTGATCTCGGCGCCTGTCGTGGGGTCCACAATCTTGCCGCGCGCACCAGGGACGAGAGAGCCTGATGATCCGACGTCGATGTCGATCTCGGAGGTTGTGCAGACGACAGTGCTGGTCTCGGTCATGCCTGGATTTGTTTTAATAAACATGGCCAAGCAAATGGTGCAAAACGATAGCTTACCGTATCCTTGACCCACGTGCCACTTGGGGTATTGCTTCTTAAGATCCTCCACGGTTTCCGCGCCAAGCGGCGCCGCACCTGTGTATACCCAGCGCACGTTGGTAAGGTCGTATTTGTTGCAGAGATCTTGGTTGCGGATGACTTGAATTACGATCGGCGGGACCTGCTTGCGTTAGAAGATGTACGTACAACGCTTGTATTGCCGCCAATGAGCACTTACAACGGGGAGGCAGTTAATCTTGAAGCGCTGAACGGCATCGAGGAACTGCTTCAGTTCAAACTTGGGCAGGACAATGATGCCGTCGCCGCGCCACGTGCCGCAGTGAGCAATGACAACCAGGCCGTAAATGTGACTAAAGGGGAGGAGACCGAGAGTGGCTTGTGTCCTAACGCCAAGCTTTCTCCTCGCGACTGTTTCATATGTTGTGAATTGCAGGACGTTCGCGATGACGTTCCTGTGTGAGATCATAACAGCTTTCTGCAGCCAAATCAGTCTACGAACCTCGACATACGTTGCGATCGCCTCTAGGACCCAGAAGTACTCACAGGCAAACCCGAGGTGCCGCTCGAGTAGCACAAGAAAGCAACCTGACGTGCTCCCTGTCCCTTGACCCACTTGAGAGGTTCCAGCTCCGGCAGAGACTTGCCCTCTTGGATCAAGTCATCGATAGTGACATAGGGTGTTTTTTGATCGGCGCCCGGTACCGGCAGCAAAAAGATGCGGTCCTCGGGGATGTTGGCGCCCTTCGCGGCCTTAAGCGCGGTTTCAAGCAATGGGATGCAGGTAAAGAGAGCTTTCGAATTGGACGACCGCAGCTGGTGCTCCAACTCTTGAGCTGAATAAGCGGCGCTAGCGGGAGTGACGATGCCGGACAAACGGTGCATGGCATGGGTGAAGGGGATGTAATCGATCTACGCACTACTTTTAGTCCCGTGGGTGATGTGGGGTTACTTGGGCACCATTGCTACTCACTGTGTTGAGGGAGAAGAGGCAGACGACCTTTTCCCACTCGGTACCCTCGTTTGGTGCGAACTCGAGCTTCTTGGAGATACCTCTCGCCAGCAAGTCTGTTCGCTCCCTCACCTCGAATGCCGAGTATGACTTGCCGGTGAGGCCGCAGGTGTACGGGCTTCTGGAATCCTTGAGGGCATAGCGACCGTATCTCTCGTTGCTCATGAACTCTTGGATTGTGATTGAATCCGGAGGATCTGTGGTGTTTCAGTGAGCGCTGGTCACGGCAAAACGTTGGGCAAGGCCCGAGGGCCCGAGGGGAATATCTTACCGATGGGCAATTGAGGAACCCAGTTTGGCGAAGTGAAGACCATCTTGAGCGGCGAAGAGAGGGACAAATAGAAATAGAGAGAAGCCAGGTGAGAAGCTTTGTGTCTGCGCGTTCAAAGATCGTGTCCTTGAAGCCTTGCCGCGCGAAGAAGATGGTCCGTCGTTGAGAGATGCGAAGCGTTGATGAGAGAGGAAAAGATTCGGGGGAGGTTCGGACTTTTTGAATGATGTCAAGCTGCGCACGAGGCTCGGTGGATAGCTGAAGCTCAATTGCCGAGCAAGCGGTTTGGTTCAAAAGGAAAACTGACAGCGAAGGGGACCGACCGGGGCGGGAACAGAGTTTAGATCTCTCTATTGCGTTGCGCCTCTGTGCCCCCGGTGACCGGGCCCTCCCCTGGTCTCTTCGTCCCTGGTGCTCTACACGTCTGCTCCTCCTCACAGCCAGAAGGAGCAGAGAACCAAGACTTGGAGAAGCATAGCTTCCCCCACTTCTCCGCATTTCTCCCCACGTACTTGTCACACCTCGGCAGAGCCAGCAGATAGTGCGGTATCTTCCCGCACTCTCCAGGAGGTCGAGTCATTCCGCGTATCCGCCCTCGTCATTTGGTGTAGATCCAGCCATGGGCACCAGTCCTCCAATTGTTAGGACGTTAACTGTGGTTGACCTTGGACAAGATCCGTTGCCAGCAGCCGATGGCGGTAGCGCCCACACCTTACCCCAGTCGCTAGATTGGCTCACCCATTCTCTGAGCTTCACGTCGCCGAACCTTCGCTACTCATGACCCCCGTCAATTCCAAGGGGTCCAGGGGCACAGAATTTGGCCGAGCAGCCACTGGTTGTGGATTTACCGGCTGCAGTGGGCTAGAGGCCAGCCGGCTCCTGTGTGCCTTGGTTGGCGATTTGGGTGTTTGGTGTGTCTCCCGTTCCATTATGTCAGCAAGCAGAGAACCGAATTACCAAGGTAAAAACAATTCCGACCAACCGAGATTCTTCCGATGACAAAGCAAACACTCATCTTTGCCGACCAGATTGGCCAGGTCTTTAGGCCCGCAGCCCCAGTCGCACCCCGGAAGTCAATTCATGAGATCTCCGGCGCGGAATCTCACTCCCGCCCCGGATTCTCAACCTCCACCGAATCTCACAGAGTGGGTCGTGGCTTCTGCCTCTGTTGCCCGCCGACCTCCGCGTCAGACCACCGCCATGAATCCTCTCACGTTGACTGTCGACTGGGAACGGCTGTGTTACCTTTCCCAACACTGCATCAGGTCGCCGGGAAGAATTTTCTGGTCACTAGCAAGTATTTATTCGCCGGTAGCAACAGCGCGCAATACATAAGGTCGGTAAGGGAGCCTCAGTGACAGTTGCACACGCAGCCAAATGTGGGGCATACAATAAGCAGCCGTTGTTTAGTCGAAGTTTGGTCATCAGAATATTGCTGCTGGCTGGGGACTTCGCCGGGGACTTCGCCGAGTGATGAAAGCCTGGCCTGATGGCTTTATTTCTCCCAGGCCATCCACAAGTGCCATTACTCTTTATTGCGGGATGGCATTGTTTTAGCCACCATCACTTCGCGCTAGAAACAATGGTACATTTCGGTGGTATGTCATCTCATTAAGTTGACGACAACCTATCTCGGCACACGTTGTCTCAAATGATCCCACTTTCCTCCAGACCGCAATGTCCCTCAATGGTGTGGTCTTCACTGCATCATGCTTCTCTACCTTGACACTTGCCAATGAGGCAGTCTCAACTCTAAGCATGGCAGCCTCACATGGATATTACTCGAACACCTGTCTTCTATGCGTCCCTTACCTTATATCCACAGGCAAAGCCAGCGTTTCCCTTCTACTTTGCGAAAGTGGATTAGACAAGAAGGAGGGTTTGGCCAGAACTCATCTGTTCTTCCCATCTGAAGTTATATTCGTCCGACGTTCCCACTCAATCTGCCTGAGTCGGTGAGACTGGCTTGTTGGGAATTGGATGCCTTCAAAGGTTTATCACAAACGGCCCCTCATTTTGAGCGCCGTATCGTATCAACAGTATATATCACATACCCTAGAGGCTTTGCCTACCTTCCTTGTATGACTAGAACTCAATACCTGAAACGGAAGCCTTGTAGCCTTTCAACCTTTCTTGTACCCCCCGAAGGTGCTGGCGAGGCCCCTCCCCCCCAATCATCCACTACAGTTGCCTTTGCCAAAGCTTCGAATTTGAAGCCAACTGTCTTCGGCTCAATAACACCATCAATTACCTTGGCACAGTCTCTATCTGACGAGGAGAAGAGAGTCCCAAGGTAGAATGGTATTCCTCAAGTCGTCTTTTCTACAGCAAGCTACTATTCTTAGCGGACTTGGCAGCATAGGAAAGCCCCTGCTAGCAAGATTTCTTCCACTCTGGAAGGTCTACCGTCGGGAGTTTCTTGGATATAAACTCAGCTTTCGATCACAAATGCCCGACAAGCGTTGCGCTTGGCTGGCAGGAATAGTTATCTAATAGCCGTCTGAAGACATCACCTTGCTAGATGCTTTCAATGGCTGAGCCAGTCTTTCTCATGCCAGCGTACTGCATGTCACGCTATATTCATCACTCAGAGGCGCTGGATGCTCGGATGTAAATTGATTCGGTGGATTTTCCCTTTCAATTTCACAATTGAAAAACATAATAAACGCCTATTGCTTAAACTCGCTCTCCTGACAAGGGAACCAGATGTTGATAATTGAGAGCTGAAACAACTGTATACTAGAAACGACGAGAGACATGTAGAACCTCTCATAAAACTCCTCACCCGTCTTGCATGAAAACTTGGTCGCTCCTGTCTCTTCCGTCTTCTCTAAGGCTTAGACTGAAACGAAAGATATTTGTTTTGGGCAATGGATCACCTGCACCTTCCAAATCTACAATGCTAATATTCTTCGCTCTTTCCCACTGTGAATCACGCAAGTCCAGCCGGTCCTTCTTCACGGTTCGGCTAAGTGCCCCTTTGGGCAATCAAAACCTTTCACACACCCTCTGCTCTTTCCTTATGTTACTCTCCTCCTGCCTTCGAACTTTCGAAATCTTCTTCGTGAACCTCGATCCTGCTCTAAGATCTGCGGTCTCTTTCCAGCACCTTCTTGAGTTCGCACTGCGATCCTACCTTCGAACCTGCGGTCCCTTCTTCGCACCTTCTTCAGCTCGCACTGCGATCTTGCCCTGAGACCTGCGGTCCCATCTCCACACCTTCTTCGTGTTGCGGTCTTGCCTTCGAACCTGCGGTCCCTTCTTCGTTCCTTCTTCATAGGCACTGCACTCCTGCCTCTGGGCATCCCCTCCCCACACCGGAGGATATTTAAGAGAGGCTTTCTTCTGCAATCACACTTCTCTCTTTCACAAACCCTCACTTCTCTCACACACGCCTCCGCTTCTCTTGCCCACACAATTCAACTTTTCCCACACACACACACACACACACACACACACACACTTACACACACACTCCAACTTCTCCCATACACAGATTTTCACTTCTCCCACAGACACCTCCCCTTCTCTCCCGCACACATTCTCCGACTTCTACCTTGGACACTATTCCACTTCTACTTCAGTCACTCTTCCAATTCGGCCACTTCCGTCTTCCGCGTCTGTCTAAGACACTCTTCTACTTCTACTTAAGACACACTTCCCTCTACTTCAGACAATCTTCCACTTCTTCTCATACAAACTCACGTCTTTCATCTACAACCGCACTCTCAAAGAGTGTAGCCTCTTTAGGTATTCAGTGCAGCCCGACCGTGAACCGGTCTTCCTATTCTTCATACTTCTTTCACATATTCTCAAATCCTTCTATCGTACCAAGTCTACTTCCTTCAACCGTTCGCACCTTCGGTCTTTCAAATTACCTAGAAGTGCCGTTCGCACCTGACGTCTTCCAGCCAACCGAGAAGTGTTGTTCGGACCTGACGTCTTTCAAATCACCGAGAAGTGCCGTTCGGACCTTCTTTATCCAGAGCTCGTCTTGAAATTCACTTTCAGGCTGCGACCATTCTTCAACCTACGTGATACACACCTTACGATCGATAGTAGAACCCCTTCTCTTCACATCAGTTCAAGTACTCGGCAAACATGATGGCCGATATCAGCAAGCTTAAGGCTGAGCCTTTTGGAGAACCCCCCGTTTGGGCTGCAACCCGACAGGCTCTTTGCGATGCCCTGCCTTACTACAAAGCGCACCAGAGCAGTGCCCACACCAACAACAAGACTATGGTGGGATTTCTCCTTGGCGGCTTTCCAACTATTCGAGACCGCATGGATGCAGAGGTCATCATCACTGCGCTGTAGGTGCTTCCCAAACTTCCCTCGCTAACCAACTGCTAACAGTTTTGATCTGTGGCAGCGGTGGCGGCAGAGAGCGCGATGTTGATGGCAACATGATCCGAGTCAAGGAGAGCTTTGAGAGAAACTTGTCCTCTGCCCAGGCTTCCATGATGAAAGCCATGCCCGTTGGCGTCATCTTAGGTAAGTCAATCCTTCGAAGCAATACCATGCTTGAACATCATACTCATTTTCAAGTAGATAAGAACTACCCCGGCTTGTCCATCGCCACGGAGCACAAGTACAGCGTCATGGCGTTCTTCACCATCACGGACATCTGGTCCGAGAAAGAAGCCAATGGACAGTTCTGCCACAAGATTCGACTTGAGAAGATCGACCGTTCTACACCATCTTGGTGGCAGGCAAAGGCTGAAGTTCAACACACTGTCAACCCTCAGGAGTTCAGTGACGTTCGCCAAAGCTGTATCAAGTGCTTGAAGACGTCCAAGCAGTACTTCATTCAGGGCTGGACCTGCCTGAATGCTCACTGCGAAGAGTCATTCATCTTCTCCTCTGAGACCGACATCATGGGGCTTGTACCTGCTTCTCACTGCTCCGCTGCCCTTGCTTGGTGCATCGACTGCCACCAGCACTGCAAGACGGTCTTCTCTGCCGGATGGACCTGTCTCAACCGCAAGTGCAAGAATTTCTTCATGTTCCCAGCTGGCGTGGATGTTGCTCGCCTGGAATACTCGGAGAGCTTTCTTCAAGAGAGAACAACGTTTCAACTCCCCAAGCAGCCTCTTCAACCGAACCTTCCATCCATGAAAGGCCATCTCGGCACTGAGAATACAATGCGTCAGGGTATTGTCTGTCCTCAGTGCCACGGCTGCTCGAGACGAATTGACTGGACTCACTGGGCTTATGAGAACCCAGTGTGCAATTTTGTCTTGATGGCTAAGCCGGCTGCATTCCCTCTGCAGGATGTCCTCCAAGAGGAGACTCACGTCAAGAGAACGCATGGGTCTAGACTCTACGATACAGGAATTCTGCAGCACCACGCCCAGATCAATGGTCTTTTCATTGAACAATATCTTCTTCCGGATCTCAACGACACCAGCAGAATTATTGGCTCAGTCAGTATCATCCGCACGAACCAGACTGCGAATGGACAAGCTGGCGGTCCTGATGAGATGTGGAAGATCTCTAACGAGTCGGTCGACACCTTCGACCTGTCTAGAAATTCGGTGGTTCATCCCGGATGTAAGTCTTCACCCAAAGCTGTTCCACAGAACCCGTCACTAACATGTTGCAGTACCCACAGAGAAGCTGACGAGAAACTTCCTCCAGAACTGGGGCGCTCCCTACAAGTTCGTCGTCGCAGTGGACTCCAAGCCATTCTCAGCGGCTCCCGAGGCCTTCATTGGAGCCCTCAAGAGAATGGAGTGGGCTGGTGAAGTATCGATCGAGATGACGAACGAAGTCTTGGGAGTTGTTGACCGCCACGCTCAACATACTGGACTTACTCGGGATTCGTCTATCACTCCTGAGTTCACCAACTTCAACGAGCTGTTATCCATCGGCTACATGGAGAAAGACAAGATCGGCGTTAGTAACCTTATGATTTCTTTATAAACTCAAAGCTGACTTTTATAGTTTCACGATGATGGCGAAGATACCTTGGGCCCTACAGTAGCGACACTTTCTTTAGGAAGCCCGGCAATCATGTTCTTCGCCAAGAAGACAAAGAGTGTGAAAAATGCAAAGAGAGGAAAGAAGGTGAAGGAGGATGAGGAGTACCGGAAGGTGGTTCTCAAGTTCCCCCTGTACCATGGTGACATCGTGGTTATGCATGGCTCCCGCATTCATGAGGAGTATCTGGTAAGTGCCTCTGAGATGATTGGGAGCACAGGTATTGACATTACTATAGCACAGGGTCGATCCGAAGGGAAAGCGCCGTTTCGCTCTGACTTGTAGAAACATCGACCTCACGCACCCGAGTTTCACCCCTCAAGGTCGTGATGATGCTCTCATGAAGAGCACCG